ACCGCTGCCTGGGCCCAGTATAACCGTCTACTTTATCTTGCTTTAATTTTAATACTAGTTTTATTGTTTTATTAAATCTGTTTCTATTTCGACCTATTTGAACCCATGAGTTTCCTTTTTCCCCCAATTTCCTTTTCTCGGCTGAGAGGGGGTTTTCGGGGAATAAAGCAAGTACTAGCATTTAGTCCGGAGGTGGGCTAAACCAAGACAAGGGGTAACTGTTTTAAACTGAAAAAAGGTAGATGTATATTGGATATTAGGAAGACATTCTTTACTGGAGGGTGGTGAGACACTGGAACAGGTTGCCCAGAGAAGTTGTGGATGTCCTCTCCCTGGAAGTGTGCAAGGCCAGACTGGATGAGGCTTTGAGCAGCCTGATCTAGTGGAAGGGACCCCTGCCCATGGCAGTGGGGTACTGGAACTAGATGATTTTTAAGGTCTCTATCAACCCAAACCATTCTATGATAAGTCATCTCACTCACTGTGTTTCAGGCTGACATCAGTGAAGCGAGAAAAATATTGTCAAGCAATCTTAAAACACTGCAGTTTTCAGATAAGCAAAGCACTCAATTATCAACTATTACAACAGGGGACACATTCCAAGGCAGACTGGAAGTAAGTGCAGAAATGCGACTTGATATGCAAGCTCACCAATCTCAACCCCTTTCTCAGATGACAATCCTGTTCTACCTTGCAAAATGGTTCCCTATAAACGGGCTTCTCTTAGATCCCAACACTGGTATCAATACCAGCCCCACTCCTGATACAGAGGCTGCAGCATAAGCAAAAACACCAGGTAAAACTCACACATGCACTACGTACCATAATAAGGTTCAAAGAGCTCACTGGAAGCAGAATAGAAGTCCTCTAGTTTAAAATCATTTGGACCTTTCAAGGTCATGCCAAATCCTTTTGCATGCCACTTCCGCCTCCACAAGACATACTCAGAAAAGCCTCCAGGACCAGCACACACATCAGCAAAGTAGAGCAGCTCTGCATCTCGTTCCTTTATCAAAGGCCTCTGCAAAAGGAAACTGAGGAAATTGTACTGACCCAGTAATAGCTCCCATCAGTCAAACTAGATACACCATACACTGCACTACTCAGTCAAAGAAGTATCTTCCAAGCACCTGTTTTCCCAGCTAGTATCCTAAGGATTCTCCTTTCTCCCCACCTTCTCCATTCTCCGAGAAAGCACCGCTGTTTGAAAGTTAAATAGAGGCTCTCACCCCATGGAAGTCCTTAGGGTTTGTAAACATGTAGTCAAAGACATGGTCCATATTTGCCATCTTCATTGCAGCCCTGTGGACACATAAATAGGGACCTGCTAAGTTTCAACCTTGCCTCCCAAGGCTGAAAGTAGACATAAATGGGAAAGGGGCTATACTACTAGAAGTTCTGCAAACCTGTTCAGGAAGAAAACTCCACGGATCATCTCATAGGGGTTAGATCTTGTTCGGGCTCGACGCATTTCTTCTCCATCCAGCTCATCAAATACACTCTGCATAAACACAAAATTGAGCTGGACCTGGCACAGGCTTGAGGGACAGGCAGGCATGAGCATTTCCTATCCTCATGCTTCTCTCTCCTTTGACAGCAAACTCCATGCAGGGTTTGGTTGACCAATATAGAACGTTTTTCTGTCACATAATGATATTCACTCTTCTTCTAAGCCACCTCAGTCCTTAAGCAAATTTAGTGACACTGAAGAATTCTGTATTGATAGCTCCAGAGCCTGATAATGTCGTTAGCCACCTCAGAAGCTGTCCCAGCCTAAGGGATTTCTCTCATACATACATACACACTCTACTACAGTTTACATGGGCATGACAAAATCCAGGAGGGAAGATTGAACACACAAGAAAAGAAAGGGAGCCCATTTCCTTAGCTTATTCAAGTCTTCAGCCTTTCGGTTGGACTAAGAAAGGGAGCCTGTTTTCATTCATCTCGTTGAAGGCTGAGGTGCAAAACAGGCTGCTGAACAGACAGCAACAACCAGGATGCAAGGTCATACCAGTGTCATGGCAGTGAAAGAGGATGTTCTGAGCTCTTGCCAATCACCTGAGTAAACTACTCAATTCTCTTCAATTCTTTATTTCACCTGCTTCCCCAAAACTTCAGTTACTCTCTAAAGAAGGGGACTCACCTTGCACTGCAGGACATTACGTAAAAGCTCTTCACTACAGAACTCTGTTTCATCTTCAATCACCATCTTTTTCTGGAACAGGACGAAAACACAGACAATTAGCAAGCATGGTGTCAGTCATTTCAGAATGCAACATGTATCAGTAATGGATGAGGGTTGCCAACCACATACTAGGCTGTATTACCAAAAGCGTAGCCATCAGGCTGACGAATTATTCTCCCCTATTTGGCATCTTGAGACCACATGTGGAATACTGCATACAGTTTAGCACTTCCCAGTACAAGACAGGCATACTGGGGCAAGCCCAGCAAAAGGGCCACCAAGATAACAAGGGTGCAGAAGCACCTGCTGTATGAGGAGAGGCTGAGAGAACAGTTTGTTCAGAAGGGAGATCCTACTGCTGGGACAGCAGGAAATAGAGGAGATTGATCTAGACTCTTCTCAGAGAGGGATAGTGATAGGACAAGAAACAATGGACACAAGCTGCAACACAAAAAATGCCGATTAGCCATATGGAAATTTTCTATTGTCAACTGGGTTATCAAACACTGAAACAGATGCCCAAACAGGTTGTGAAATTTCCATCCTTGGAGATACTCAAAGCTCAACCAAACAAGGCCTAGAGCAACCTGATCTATTTGGACCTGCTGTAAGTAGGGTGCTGCACTAGCAATCCCCAGAGGTCCCCTCCAGCCTAAGTTATTCTACAACTCTTTGAAAAGGCAATTGTTACAGGCTGAGTAGTCCTGTGTCATCTTAGGCTGGTAAGTACAGAGACTTAAATTACCTTCCCCACAGTCATCCACTCCTTCAGCTCCTGGGCATCCGGGATTTCTGTGGTACACTCAAGGCACCAGTCCACCTCCTCGTAGGCACTGGGCTGCAGACAGAAGATATGGGAAGAGCCAAAGATTTTTTTGCTAGCAAAATATAATGGCTAATTGCTCCCCAAAAGTTTGCTTCCCAGTCCTAGCATAAAGGGTTATGCCATGACTTTAAGGCCAACCAGAAGAGGGTTTTCTTCCTCCTAGTCTAAAACATGTCTTATTTGTTTGGACTTAAAAAAAATTAAACATGCCTCCACCACAAAAACCCCACACCACCTTCCTCTCATTAGAGTCTTATAAATAATCACGACAAAGCAAAAACATTGTACTCTCAAGGCACATTTTAAAGACACTGCAAAAGAGACAGTTGTCAAAAAAACACACTACCTGATTGTGCTTTACACATTCTTTCTCCCAGTTCTTTCTGGGAAAGGCTCCCTCATTCCACAACTTAATTCAGGCTTCAAACAATTTTTATAATCTTAGAAAGGAATTGTTTTAGCAGTTAAGATCAAAGTGATGGTACTCCTCCACAAAGAGAGGCTGATAATATCTACTAACCTTCTTCTATTTATTACAGTAGTATCATCCACAGGGGTTAATCATACATAACACTTAACTGCTGTGAGCTGTAGAAACACACTGGAGAATAAGACCTAAACCAATGAGCCTATAGAACCGGTCTCAAATTCCTCAAATTCTCAAGGAATGACCTCTGATCTTATTTTCAACTGCTGAAAATACTACAAAGAAACGAGAGCGAAGTACTATAACATGTACCATACATGACTTAACAAGCATCGCTGCCCTTGAACTAACAATGGCTGTGACCTTCTGGCTTACACTCCAGCTGCCAGATCCCTAGGATTCAGTGTTGTGGTTTGTTTTTTCCTTTTTAAATACAAATATACAGCAGCTATTTCACAACAAATAATATCAAAACTGGGCTTTACTTTCCTGACAACATCTATTCCTATTTCCCAGTATTCTTCCCTGTTGAAGAGCTTGACAAGACACAGGAATAGAACATTAATACTTATGCCAGAAAATAAGTTTTGCCATGCTGTTCTGGGACAAAATAAGGCCTGGGTCTACCTAACAGAGCCACTTGATGGTAGCCAGTTGTATCAGACAGCACTAAGTATCATTCCCAGATGGCAAATCCCAAACACAGCAACAGAAAAGGGATTCAAAATAGGAAGTACTTACCTCTGGCTCATCCTGCCAATCAATATTGAGCTCCCCATCAAATCCTTTGAGGGTCAGCCCAAAGCCTCTCCTTCCCTTCTGATTGGAGGCCTCAACAATATCCTTCCTGCCTTGGCCGTATTTTCCCAGACCTTCTCCTTCCCGGAAGCCCATCTTAGCCTACAAAGCAAGCAAAGGAGGCACAGTGAGGCAAGGGGACTTGAGTTTATGTACTACCACTGGGATCAAAGACTAGCAGGCAAAATGACATATGACCCTGAAGTGACTTGAAGGCATTGAGCATTTTTAATCTCAGTCGTGGCTTTCAGGACTTAATACTGAGTTCACTTCACTGAGGCAGGACACAAAAGAGCTAGATCTGAAGAATGATGTTTTTGACAACAGCAAATTACAAAAGCTTCAGTAATGTGGGAACAGCCTGCTCAGAGGGAGAAGTAGCGAGGAGCCTGAAGCCATTCATCACAGTGTTTAGTAAGCATGGAGGGATGCTGGCACATGAAAAAATTCATGTTGTGATGATATTCTTTGTTGTGAACATGCACTCACGTACATTTCAAGCATCAGTTAAAACTTCACCTAAAACTCAGAAGGAATGCCAGACACACTGTTCCTGAAAGACATTCCCATCTCTGAGGTTAAAAAAAATATGTTCATTAACTGCTGTTTTTTCAGGCTTTTCTTATCATAAATTTTAGCAACAAAATCAAAAAGCATGAATGCAGTCGACTTCACTCCCTCCCGTATGCATCTACAAGACAGTAAGTAAATAAAAGATGGAAGGATTAAGTTTCTCTTTGAATGAATGTTATCCATATACTCCTTCCTGTGAGAAGCAAAAAAAACATTGTTTATTACCAATCTGTATGAGAAACAACACAAGAACATCTGACAGGTTTTATACAAAGGTATGTGGTGTTTTCCCATTGCCTTTGCTACCTGGCTCTGAATCAGATCTTCAAATACGTACACCAAATACAATAGCCACCAAGCCTGTTATACACCGGTTTTCTGATGACAGGATTTTGAACCTCTAGTAATCAAGGACTATTTTCCTTTAACTTACCTAATGCTACCAAATCATTCAACCAGATTTGATATCACATCAGTCTTTATATTCAAATTTATGAGTCCTTAGAAACAAAAGCCTCCCAAATTCCGTAGTAAAAGCTCCTGCATTGTGGCAACTGAAAGCGCACATCCTTATTGGCTCAGGAGAGAACCCTACAAGTGAAAGATAGTCTTGTGCTAGAATCAGCAAACTGCAGCCCAGTGCCAAAACTGCATGTGGACAGATTCTGAATAATCAGCAACAGGATCTATCTACATAGAGGTACAATCAGCAACTCTCAGCCTTTGGATTCCCCTGAGTTTTGAATTCAGCGAGAGATGAAAGTTCTTTTTTCATGTAGAGGTATGATCCTGCTGGTCAGCAGTTGTTCCACCTCCTTAGGAGGCAGTATCTCCCTGTTCCCATTCCTAGTAGTAGCTAGCACTTCCCAGCCTCTAGTAGAAGACTGAACTTCTAACTTGGCGAAGGCAGGTACAAGCTGGCCTACCATCATGGAATGACTGCTGACCCCTGCTCCTGCGAGTACAGCACCAGCACAGAACAAAAGGAGACCTGAATTCAGTCCCCACTGAGCCCCACACTTCCTGTCACATTTCAAGTAGTACACAACCATACATCTCATCATCTCTGCTGCCCTTGGAAATAACATTTTTTGTTTCTCTGTTACCAAGAATGGAAATTCTTTCAGGATTATTTGATTCTCACCATACCACAAAGTTTGCATCAGGAAATAAGTGTAACAACAGCATGCACCGAAAGAGACTCCTCTTCTCTACAGCCTACTATTGCCTTTCAACTCAAGAACAAGTTGCCCAATTTGGGACTACCACAAGACAGAGACAGTCAAGCATTTTCTCAGAACTTTCTAAAAGTACTTTCTTCCCCACATGAACCCTGTACAACCAAGGGGATGGCGATCACCTTCAAAGTTTAGCTGTCACAGTTGCTACCATTCATGACTCCCTGCCTTTCCAAGAAAATTCTGGCCCTACATAAAGCAGAGTGGCACTACTTGAAAGAAAAAGAAATACCTTAATAATTCAGGTAATAATTATATTATT